CTGAGCTTTTTCAAGTGTCCCAGTATGAATACTTATGCAATGTAATCATTTCAGGTTTTTATTTTGAATAAATTTGCACAGTTGTTACAAACCTGTTTTTTGCTTTGTCATTATAGTGTTTGGGGTGTAGATTGATGTGGGGAAAAAAGTAATTTAAAGCAGTTTTAACATAAGGCAGCAACATAAAACGTGACAGAGTACTTTTGCAAGGCACTATATATATATATATATATATATATATATATATATATATATATACACACACACATATAGTTCTACAACATTTTAAAAAAATTCTAATGGTTCTAAAATAATGTCTTCTCTCTGTGTTGATTTGGTGGCCAGCTGTGATGTTTTCGTTCTCCTGTACCGTAAGGCCTTCTGGTGTAAAAGAGCACCAAAATAAACAGATTGTGTGGAGAGGGAATGAAAGGGAATAGTGTTCAGCAGCTCTGGGAACAGCTTTGCTGCTGTCGGATCAGTGCAGCGGCTGGACAGTCTTCTCAAACACTCCAGTGTGATCTGCAGAACGTTCACAGTTTCATTTGGATCTTGATGAGATCTCATTTCAGGATTTTAGAGTTTGATCTGGATTTCACACACATGCACCAGCAAAGAACTCAAAGGATCAGTGACCTAGTTCACATGCATTGCTTTGCACCCAATACATTTTGATCATTAGTGCATGTTGTTCCAAAATAAATGTTTTCTTCATAATCCTTCAGAATGTAATAACTCGCTCCAGCTCTGAAACGACTGTCTTTGTCATCTGAAGTCATCAAGTCAAGACACCTTTATTTCCGTAACGCTTTATACAATACAGAGCAGCTTCACAGTGATAAACAGAAAAACATCAGAACTAATAATGGAAACTCAACTATGGAGATTCTGATGTCAAGCAGCTCTAAAAAGACAATAATGTCATTATTTAGCCCAAGCCACTTCAGTGTTGGTTTGTTTAATGTCAATAACAGTGTGAAGGTAGTCGATCAGATATAAGCAGTTCTACAAAAGGCAGTCGAGTCAGTTTCATGTTAATTCAGTTAATACTGTCACCTTCATATAGTCACCATCCAGTCAATTCCTCATAGATAAAGTCTAAGTTCTAGATATTCTCTTCAATGAATATCCATTTTGATGGGAGTCCAAATGGGTTGTGAATGTCACTGACCTTAAGGCCCATTGATTAAGTCTTTTTTCCACAAGCACCACAGCTATTGGAATATTCCTGTGTACAAACTGATCAGCAGATACACTGGAAACTATTTAAAATACCGAAGAGGTTTTTGGAAGTTTTGACATATTTAATAATACAAATTCAGTCGTGTGAGTGTTGCACATCAAAAATGTGTTTCTTCGACTACTTGATGTTTTGCTACTGTTTGCACCCTGATTTTCTTTGGTTTGGACATGCAGAATATTCTGAATAATGTGTTCATATGACACACAGTTCTCATTTGGACACATTTACATGATGCATTCACTACGAAGGGAATTAAAGTTCTGTGTTGCTACGAAGGATTTCTGTCAGTAGGATTGCAGAGAGGTCATGAGATCAGTGCGATCAGGGCCGGAAATGAACATGCTTGGGGCAAAAATGCAACCCAAATTCATTACATTACATTTAGTCATGTAGCAGATGCTTTTATCCAAAGCGACTTACAAATGAGGAATCAACAAGAGAACAATGATATGCAAGTGCTATCTATAACAAGTCTCAGCTTAACGCACACAATAAGGTTTTTTTATTTTTTATTATATAATAAATAAAAAGAAAACGGATAAAATAGAAAAAGAATAGAGCAAGCTAGTGTTAGAGGTTTTTTTTTTTTTGCTTTTGTTAATTGTAAGAAAACAAACAGATTAGAGAAGCTAGTGTTTTATTTTTTTTTTTTTAAGAAAACAGACAGTTAATAAATTAATAGAGTGCGAGTCTAAAAGGGGCAAGTTTGTTTGTTTTTTAAAGAATAGAATTAGAATAGAGAGTGGTAGAGTTAGAGGGTCAAATAAATGTGGAACAGATGTGTTTTTAGTCGTTTCTTGAAGATGGCTAAGTACTCAGCTGTTCGGATTGATTTGGGCAGGTCATTCCACCGGGAGGGAACAGTTAATGTAAAAGTCAGTGAAAGTGATTTTGTGCCTCTTTGAGATGGCACATAATGCAAGCTTCTAGAGGGCACATAAGTCTGAAGTAAAGAATTTAGCTAAAGGGGTGCAGAGCCAGTGGTGGTTTTGTAGGCAAACATTAATGCCTTGAATTTTATGCGAGCAGCTACTGGTAGCCAGTGCAAACTGATGAAGAGAGGTGTGACGAGCATTCTTTTCGAGATATGGGAGCAAGAAATGACCCTGCACAATTAAACTAAATCGATTGTGATCGTTGTGATTAAAGTGAAATGTGAAAAAATGAATGAAAAGTGTCAATTGTGGCATTATATTACATCTGCATTTGTCAAAGATATGTTGTCACGTGTTGTTTTTTACAGTGTTGATCATTATAACCAGTCGCACGTGTAACCAATCAGATGTGTTTAGAAAGGTCACTGGCTCTGAAAATCTGCATCGTTTTTTTTGGTGTAGCCAAGCTTCAGGCATATGGTTTTACTGCCAAAAAGCAGAAGAACACATTTGCACAAGAATTGCATTTTTTGTTCTTTGTGTGTTAAGAGGGTCACTTAAAACATTGTCTGCTGTTATAAGATTAAAACATGCTAAAACTTTAGTTTAGGGACCAATTCTCACAATTAATTAGTTGCTTATTGTGTATGTGTGTGTGTGTGTGTAATAGCATGCCTATTACTAATATATTGGCTGTTTATTGGTACTTCTAAAGCACATATTGATGCCTTATTCTGCATGATCATATTTTAGATCCATTAATCTCTACCCCATACCTAAACTTAACAACTGCCTTACTAACTATTAAT